TTTCAGCAAGCAAGGTTGTATCATCTGCATATCACAGGTTGTTAATGAGTCTTCCTCCAATCCTGATGCCACGTTTTTCTTCATAGAACCAAGCTATGACAAAAGTTAGTATTCCTCAAATACTAATATGTGAATATGAATCAGTTGTTTCTTTTCAGACCAAGTTTCCCAATCCTTCTAACGAATTTGTTCTGTATGATTCTCTTACATCATAACCCATGATCTTGTACTTGAGTTGTATGGATCACATGACTCAATCAGTGTCAGAATCCCAAGGGCCCCTATCCTTATGGACCGTATGTATAGAGCCAAGTGCTATAAGATGACATTTGTATTTTATCCCAATTTTTCTTTTTATAAATTTCCCCTCTAGTATTCTTAAGTGGTAGAAATAAACAATGACTTTGTCTAAGATTAAGGAACTCTGGTAGCCTAGTGGTTACGAGTTGGACTGCTAACTCAAGGTCAGCAGTTCAAAATACCAGCCATTCTGCAGGAGAAAGATGAGGCTTTATGTTCCCATAAAGATTTACAGACTTGGAAGCCCTATATTCAGGCTGCTATGAGTCAGAACCGACTCCACAACACACAACCACCACCATCATGTCTAAAATTATATATGGATTCTTTTTATTTTTAATCGAATATTTGTTTATTTCCCATAATTATTTTGTAGCTTAAGATGTATATCTATAAGTTGTGTTTTTGAGTTATTTTTTTTTTCTTCTCCTATAGAGATCAGGACCTAGAAAAATTAATTAAAGTAAATTCCAATGTGTCTGAAAATGAGAATGGAAGGTAAGACTTATATAATTTGTTTTCTTTCTTGTAAATTCCACACATACTTGTATTAATTATATTTGTTGTTGCTAAGAGCCCTCAAGTTGGTTTCCGATTCATAGTGATCCTGTATATGGTTTACGAGGCTGTAAATATTTTCAGGAACAAAAAGCCTTGTTTTTCTCCCAAGGAACAGCTGTTGGGCTTGGGTCACTGGCCTTGTGGTTCACAGTCCATTGCTTATCCTACAGAGCCACCATTGCTGTCGTTATATGCCTTGGAGTTAGTTCCGACTCATAGCAACCCGTACAGGGTTTCCAAGGCTGTAAATCTTTATGGGAGCAGAAAGCCTCATCTTTCACCCATGGAACAGCTGGTAGTTTCAAATTGCTAACCTTGTGGTTCGCAGCCCAAGTCATAAACACTATGCTACCAGAACCCACCATACTCCCTATAAATTATATACTCTTGGAAACATTTTCTGAGAAGTTGAATTATAATATTTAACTACAAATACTAACCAAATACAAGGAATAATGGTATAGGGTACTTAGCAGCTAATATGGAAAAAATCCAAATAAACAATATTCTAATTCTGTTAGAATCTCTGATGCAGGATCTGCTGCTTTATTGCTTAGTGTAAAACGTATCATGTAAATTTAAATCACTGCACTTGCCTGGTGGAAATTTATTTTTAGTTGCTGTTGCTTGGTAGATTTTCAACAGTGTATAAAGAACTCTGGGAATATCTTCCTTGGATGCTTCACACTAAAAGAATGTACAACTTTATCACACCTACAAAACAGGACCTAATTTTGACATTTCTTTATATAATATAGTATAATAGCTTTTTAAAAAATCTGGTGAAGTCGAAAAGCTACAGGTTAATAACATTGTTTTTACTTTTGAAAAATGTTCCATGGTTATGTAAGGTGTTAGCATGAAGGGAAGCTGGATCGCTTTAAGTATTATCTTTGAAATTTTCTATTAATCTCAAATACTTCAAACTAAATGGTTTATTTATAAAACAAACAGACAAAAAATCTGTACCACTCTTAAAGCCTACATGAAAGGGAAAATCCTTCAAAGTTGTTCCATACTAGAAATTTATTTTCTAGTATTTGTTTTTTATTCACAATTTTAAGAATGAAATCTTTTATGAAGACTTTATCATAAATTTCATTATAAACACAACTAGGAATAGGTTGTTATAGTGGTTGTTAAGTGCTGTCGAGTCAGTTCCGACCCATAGTGACCAAGTATAGGGTTTCCAAAGAGCGACTGATGAGCTTGAATCACTGCTTGTAAATTATTTCCTCTCCTGTTTGCACACTTTGCAAACTGACAATATTTGATTTTACATTTCTGAGCACAAAGAAAATACATTGTAAACTCCTTGGTAGCCTCTGTCCTTTGAAGCTATCTGTTGGTTGAAGTTAGGCTTTGTAATCGCATAAAACAGATTTGATTCTTAGCAGGGTTTATTCCTGGAATGACATATTCTAATAATCATATGTCTCTAATCTTCTAATAATATTAATTCTACCTTTTCATTATTTAGTATACTTTTAACTCAGCTACTTGTTTTGTGAAAACATCTATCTGAAAACCAGAAGATAATTGCTGTATCCCAGAGATAATATGTCAACAAACATTTTCTTCTTTAAGAGCCACCAAGAATGAAAGAAGTAGCCTGTTGGAGAATGATAAAGCCTGATTAGGATCTAAGCTCCCATCTAGATGTTCATGTCTTTCCTATAATGGAGTTTACTAACACTAAGGAGGGATAGATGCTAACATTTTCACTATGCTTTCCTAAGAATTTTTTCTGCTTGGCAGGGAAAAGTATCTAGGCTTATACTTTGTTGCACATGGTGACATCTTTAGATTAGCAGAGATCTAGGTCAGAGTTCTCCTGCTGTCTTCAATTAAGAACAAAATGGGAAGTGGAATTTCTCAAAGCAACCTCTGGATCATTTTCGTTAAATGAATAATCTTTCAGATTTAATACACATGGGAAGCATTCTAAAGTGGCACCACTGGTTTGACAATGTTACAAGAACAAAATTCATACGATTTCCTCCCTTGATACAAAGGCATTCTTCCCTAGAGTTGGATTCCTGGTGTGGCGCTGTAGGATCAGCACTGGACTAGGATCGATAAGGCTGACAGTTCAAACCCAGCAGCTGCTCCTTGGAAACCGTGTACAGAGGCACTATGAGTCAGAACTGACTCGATGGCACCTAGCTAGCAACAACAACCACCCTAGACTTAGAGCATGTGACACATGACTGTAATCTTCACAGTTAGAGAGTGGTTCTGTGGAGGAAATAAAATAGTGTAAGTATTGTGTGTGTTTGCCTGTAGAAACCATGATAACTTGAATAGATCCTCTGTATGTAAAATAGTGTTAATTGAGTAAAAGTTTAATGATAAGAAAAAATTCGAAGTGGCCTCAATTTTCAGCTACAAATGTACGTGTTTGTTTTTTCAGACTAAATGGACAAGTCACTGTTTCCACCACTAAACAACTAAACAACAAACTGAAAGGAAGCACTGCCTATTCTTATGAAACCAGAAACAATAGCAGGTACTCTGGTTAATTACAAAACACAGGACAGCAGTACTCTCTTTACGTTTTTAAAAAAATACCCCAAATGCGACCTCACCCTTTTTTAAAAATGAAGAAGTAGTCAGTTTGATCAGGGTTGTTGTTGTTGTTGTTAAGTACCGTGGAGTCGGTTCTGATTCATATCAGGGGTTAAGCCGTACAAAAGGGTGACAAATCAACAAATTGGTCTTTTGTTACCATGTGACATCTGAAATGGAATGTATAAAATGTATTTTTTCCTAAAAAATTTACGTTTGGTAGAAATATTTTTCAAAGATAAATATTTTGCATTATCTTCTCCCCTCAAAAGAAAAAAATAGAGAATCATGCAGGTGGCAGTTGCATTTACTAAAAAGATAAAGGACTTTTTTTTTTTTATGTTTTATTGTGAGTTATGTGATAGTTTACATGGGAGAACATTAGTTTACATTCATCCTATCGTATATGGAATCATTGCCATGGTTACAATCCCCTCCATGCATCATCAACCAGCCAAAGGGTATACATCCTGAAAGCCTGCCCACCTGTCGTCAGCACACAGCCCCTCTCCCTCTCTGGGTCTAAAGTCCCCAGCTGCTCCATCTCTCCACGTCATCGTCTCTGCCTCCATCTCTGGTGTCACTGCTTCTCTGAATAGGGTCCCACTCTGTGCTCTTCTCCCTTGATGGTCCCAGGGACCTCCACTCCTAGACTGCAAAGTTAATCACTCCCCTCCTTGCTATAAAACATCTACCTTTACATTTCCAACCCTCACAATCAGTCCTGATAACAATTATTCACTATTGTATCACAAGAGACCTATCGGCATTTCATTTCATCAGCCCTCTGTTACTGGCAAATTGATCCTGACTCTTAGCAACCCTTAGAACAGTGTAGGACTGCCCCATAGTGCTCCCAAGGCTAGAAGCTGACTGCCAATCTTTCTCCTTTCAAGTGGATGGTGGATTAAAAGCATCAACAATAATCCTTCAATATTAGCAGCTGAACACTTTAACCACTGCACCACCAGGACTTCTTACACATTCTTGTTGTTATTGTCAAGTCGGTTCCGACTCATAGTGACCCTGCATAGGATTTTCAAGGAGCAGCTGGTGGGTTTGAACTTCCCACCTGTGATTCTATAGCACCAAACCTAGAGTCCATCTTTAGGTATATCCAAAAGGCTTCTGTAATCACATGTTGTCAGAACTATTAATAATGTCCACTTCTTGTTCAAGTTTTGTGAAAAAAGTCATGGTTTAGAAAAACGAAGGGGACCTCAGGGAAATAGACACTAAACCATATCAATTAAACAAATATTCCAAGTCATTCTTGTACTCTACAGCAGACTTCCTGAGTGACCAACTTTTATAGAAATACTCTGAAAGTAGATCAAGACAATGGAAATGAAGAACAAAATGAAAGATATGCAGAGTGGGTTAATACAATTTAACATTCATATTTCAAAAGCTGTAGAAGAAACATACATGCATTTGTGTGTGTGTGTGCTAAATTGGATGACAGCCTAATTGTTTTTCCTATTGTTGTAAGTAAACTTAACACATGAAGTAAAATGGTTTGTATTGCAGCTCCGGTGTTGGAACCAGACCTGCAGGATCAAAGGATACAGTCGTGTACACAAGGACATATGTGGAGAATAGGTATGGGCACTTTACTTCTGGGATTAGAGCACTGACCTTGGAAGCTAGAGATCATGAGTTCAAATCTGGTGGGGGCCTATGAATCTCTGGCCTCATTTTAGAGTCCTAGTGTGATGCTATAAAGAGCTCTGGCAGCGTAGTGGTTATGAATTGGGCTGCGAACCGCAAGGTCAGCAGTTTGAAACTACCAGCTGCTCCATGGGAGAAAGATGAGGCTTTCTTCTTAAAGATTTACAGCCTCGGAAACCCTGTTCAGGGTCTCTATGGGTCGGAACCAACTCGACAGCACTCAACAACAGCAACAACAGTGTGATGCTATAGGACAGCAGCTCAAACATACCAGCCACTTCCCAGAAACACTTTACAGCAGCTCTATGAGTCAAAACCCACTCGGCGACACTTAACAACAACAACACTGCAAATATTTTTATAATTTTGAAATGACTTATGTTTAAAAAGAAATGCTATCATTTTTAGGTATGCTTCTTACAAATTGAAGACAATTTAAGGGTATATTGAGTCCTGCATATGTAATTCTTTATAATGTTTCCAATATTAAGTTGTTGTTGGTAAGTACTGTTGAGTTGGTTCCGATCCATAGATACCCTGTATAGGGTTTCCAAGGAGCAGCTGGTGAGCTTGAACTTCTGACCTTGCGGTTCAAATTGACTTTGTAGTCCAGTGCATTAACCCACAGCGCCATACTAAATAATCAAGTAAATAATATTTTAGCATAACATATCTATGTGTAATAGGATTTTTGTTGTTAGGTACTGTTGAGTAGTAGCCAACACAGAGAAATCCCATGTGACTGAATAAAGCTGTTCCATAGGGTTTTCTAGGCTTTAATCTTTACAGAAGCCGATTGACAGGTCTTTCTTTCAAGAAGCTCCTGGCTGGATTTGAACCACCAACTTTCTGGTTAGTAGATAACCATTTAACTGTTTGTGCCACCAGGGCCATTAAAAAATTCTCACATAAACATGTTGTTGTTGTTAAGTGCCATCAAGTTAAATCCAACTCATAGAGACCCTTTATAGGGTTTCCTAGGAGCCATAGAATCCTTAAATATTGCAAATCAAGTCTTGAATTTTTTTCTTCGTTTTTTTTTTTTTTTTTTTTCCAGCTTGAGACATGATGAAAATATTCTGCCCTTTGTGTTTTCTAACTTCATGTCTTTGAACATTTCTTTATAATACTTGACTTTGTCTTCTCAAGTTACCCTTTGAAACTTTCTATTCAGTTATTTTACCTCTCCATTTCTTCCGTTCTCTTTGGCTTCTCTACAATCAAGAGAAAGTTTTGGAATCTCTTCTGACATCTAATTTGGTCTTTTCTTTCTTTCCTGTTGTTTTAGTGACTTTTTGCTTTCTTCATGTATGATGTTCTCGATGTCATTCCACAATTCTTCTGCTCTTCAGTCATTAGTATCTGATCTCTAAACTCAGGTGGGATATATTCAAGGTCATATTTTGACTTTTCTAGTTTTGTTTTAATTTTCTTCCATTACAACCTGAATTTGCTTAGGAAAAATATTTTGTAATTGATGGTCTGTTCTACAATCTGTGCCTGGCCTTGTTTTGGTTGATGATATTGAGCTTTTCCACCTACAATCTCTTCTCACCTATGTGGTCAATTTGATTCCTGTGTATTCCACCTTGTCAGGTACATGGCTATGGTCACCTTCTATATTGTTTCAAAAGGAATTTTCCGTGAATAAGGTGTTGGCCTTTCAAAATTGTATCATGTGATCTCTTGCATCATTTGTATCATCTAGGCCATGTTTTCCAACTACTCATCCTTCCTCTTTGTTTCCAACTTTCACATTCTAATCACCAGTAATTATCAATGCCTCTTTTTGCATGTTTGGTCAGTTTCAGACTCAAGAAGTTGGTAGCAGTTTTCAATTTCATCATTACTGGCTTTAGTGGTTGATGTGTAAATTTGAATTATAGTGTATTAACTGGTCTTCTGTGTAGGCATATGAATAACATCCTATCATAGACAGCATTGCACTTTAAGATAGATCTTGAAAAGAAAAGTTTTTTTTGACAATGAATGTGACTTCATTCCTTTTCAATCTGTCGTTCCTGGTACAGTAAGCCAAGTGACTGTCTGGTTTTAAAATGCCAGTACTGGTCTATTTCAGCTCACTTAAGCCTAAGAGCTCACTTTATATGTTCCATTTCATTTTTGACAGCTTCTCATTTTCCTAGATTCATACTTTGTACATTCCATGTTCTGTTTAGTAATTGATATTTATAGCTATTTCTCCTCATTTTAAGTTGTGCCCTATCATCAAAAGAAGGTCCTGAAAGTTTTGCTTCATTCATGTCTTTAAGGTTAACTTCCTTTGAGGAGGTAGCTCTTCACCAGTCGTATTCTGAATGCCTTCCAACCCGAGGGTCCCATCTTCAGGCACTGTATCTAAAAATATTCCACTACTATTCATATTCAGTGCTTACACAATCATCACCAGTGTGCCTCTCTGTCTTCCTACACTGTTTTAGTCTGGAAACTTTGCTGAAATCTGTCCACCATAGGTGACGCTGCTGATATTTAAATTACTGGTGGCATAGCTTATAGTATCACAGCAATACACAAGCCACCACAGTATGGCCAACTGACAAATGAGTGATAGATGTTTTCATAGGTATATATATATATATATACTAATACTGGAGAAAATAGCCCAATTCTCATCATATATATATATGTATGTATAAATATATATATATATTTTTTTCTTTTCTTTTCTTTTTTTCTTCCCCTAGTAAATCACCAAAGGATGTGCCTCCAGAAAATGTCTCTGGAAAATACATTCAAACTGTTTATTCTACTTCTGATAGGTGAGTATGCATTTATGGTTCATATATAGAAGTGTATATTTTTACTGTCCTTTGCACTTGGAAGTAACAGTCCTGATGATGATTGTTATGAATGTAAATGGAGCAAAGTATAACTCACTATAACTTTTGCATCTAGAAATTAGTTTCTTGTTTGTTTTGTGGCTGTTGTTGCTCCTTGGTTTTTGTGCCTTTGATTTTAAAAGACCTTCCTGTGCTTTAAAGCAACCTCCCAGACCAGCCCCTCAGGTTTCTGTAGTTCCCAGGAGTCTCTAGAAATGCCATATTATTAGCATATAGACTTCACTGCATCTCTTAACTGACTTCAGCCTTCCTTCCTTGCGGTTCTCCAAAGCCAGCTCACCTTACAAACAGCTGTTTGGATATACTGCTACCCACTCTCAGCCCAAGCTCAATTCCCAGGAGTGGGGTTACAGATGAGTAACGATTTAGTGCTGGTGAACTGGCCCCACTCCAGGCTTTTGATGTAAATGATCCTTTGTTTACCATTTAATGTTCAGTGGGGCACATAGGTGGCACTCATGAGAGTGCGGCCTGCCACTTTCCAGTGGAGAAAATGAAAATATCCAATTAACATCATATTTGGAAACCAGAAGTCCTGAAAGTACCCAGTATTCCATTGATGGTGTTTCTCTGTAGCAAGGGCTAGAAACGTGGCCCCTTGAGGGTAAGGTCATGCTTTATTTTTATGTGTAGCCTCAACTTCTAATGCAGTAGTTAGCACCTAATGGGTGTCAATGAATGAGTTTCAGAAAAAAATGAGCATATGCCCCATTTGCTAAGAAAAACATGGACCAGTCGTCAGAGGTATAGCCTATGTCTGTCACTTTTTAAAGGTCTTGCCCATTGCCAGTGATTTATGGTGGCTTGACTTGAAGTCCTAAGTCTTTGGGGAGTAAAATCATCTATACAAATAGTAGAATTACAAATACTGCCTAGATAACAAAAAGAGCTAGGTTAGATATAATGTTTTGAAAAGAACTTTGATTCACAGTACAGTCTTGTCAAGAAATAAACAACTCAGAGTACCATCACTAGATTGCTATGCAGGGTTAATAGCGCATCTTAAAGTTGGGCAGCCCATCATTTACCCAGTCAATAAATGTTCTGGCTAGTTAGGATTTTAAAAGTGCTTTTATACATAGGTATGACGAACTTTTGGACAACATTTTGGGCTGTTTTACACATATAACTTTGTTAAATAGTTGCAAGATAATCACAAGATTACAAGACCCATAATGTCCTGGAAACAGGATATGTTCATTAGCCTTAAAAGGAGGATGTGTTTCTTAATCTTGAAAACAGAATGTGTTTATTAACAATTTTTTTCTGGAATAATATATTTCAGTAAAAGTTAATGAATAATGAGACCAGCCTCTCTGATCCCAGTGGGCCTAGCCACATAGCTATTTTAAAAGTTTAGTTTCTAGCACAGCTAAACTATTATTTATCTGTTGGACCGTATAGATTTTTAACAATATTTGATTAGATGATCTTTAGTGCCATGAGTAAGAGAATCATTCATGCTTTCATAATGTAAAAATTATAATTTTTCAAACAATATTCAGAGCTTTTCCTGGACTGGTATTTTCATTCTTAAAGAGGAAAACAGGGAAGGCGTTAGGGTGTGGGGCATCTAAAGAAAAAAAAAAAAAAAGGAAATAGTCCTCTTAAAGTCTTTCTATTAAGATGTATTTCAGTCCTAATTTGAAGGTGGGTCTTAGTCATTAGAGAAAAAGCTAATCGTCTGTAAGTCCAATCATCCCAGGTATTGATTATTGTCTAAAATTGGCTATGCCATCATAGGTCTTCTCTAAGCACGCCAATTCTACTGACTGCAGGATAGAAACCTTTGTGCACTGTTTACTGTCAGGATCTGCTCCTGCTGAATATTGACTAAAGCCCAGTCAAGTGAAATGCCTTTGTTTTGTGGAATCTTTGTACTTCCTGATCGCTCTGCTTGGAATCCCTCCATCATACCCCACCCCACCTATCTGCTCTCTCCGCCTGGAGAGCTCCCACTTTTTCAGGATTTAACTCATATGACACTTTTTCTGAGAAACCGTTCCTGACTTCACCCCTGGGTTGTTTGTGCTCTGGCTGTGTTCTTCTAATTCTTTCCACTTTACTTACATTATAGTGGAGTCACTGCATCACACAGCGGTCTCCTTCAGTGAAGAGAAAGTTTCTCAACCACCTTACTCTTCTCTGTATTCTCAGCTCCTCATCCAGACCCTATGGGATAACGGAATGAGTGACATAGAGCACTTGTTTTCTATCTTGAATTGCTAACAATTTTAAAGGGAAAGCTGGACCCTTGTACAAGTGTGTTGATATATCTGTATGTATATGTTGTTGTTGTTGTTAAGTACCACGGAGTCGGTTCAGACTCATAGGTGACCCTGTACAGGGTTTCTGAGGCTGTAAATCTTTGTGGATGCAGAAAGCCGCATCTTTCTCCCGCAGAACAGCTGGTAGTTTCGACCTTGAGGTTAGCAGCCTGATTCGTAACCACTACGCTACCAGAGCTCCTTGTATGTATATGAGGAACCCATTATAAAATATTTGCCAGGAATCTATAAGAAAGTAGCTATAATTTACTGAAAGCAGGAAATATTTGTATTCATAAAAGTTAGAAAGATGTTACTAGAAACACTAAAAGGCTAAAATCAAATAAAGTTTATGTATTCTCATTCATTTTCTTCCATTTCTGAGTCCTTCCAGCTTATCTCCTTCCCAGTTGCTATATTAAAATTATGGCTCCTGGCCATGACTAGTTTATTTCAGTGAAGTGATCCCAATAACCCTTGTAGCAGGTCCTGAGGCAGTACTCAGACCTCTGGAGCTGTTGTTGTTGTTAAGTGTTGTTGAGTCTGTTCCAAATCACAGCAACCCTGTGCAGGTTTCCATGGAGCAGCTGGTGTGTTTGAACCACCAACCTTGTGGTTCACAGTCCAATGCTTATCCTGCAGTGCTATACCATGAGTCCAGAACTCTACAGCTAGGTCATCTATAGACACATTCTGGCTCTGCTGCTTACTCAGAGACCAAACTCCAAACTCACTGCCACTGAGTCAATTCCAACTCCTAGAAACCCTATAGGAAAAAGTAGAATTGCTACTTAGAGTTTCCAAGGCTTTAAATCTTTAGTAGAGTAGATCTCTTCATCTTTTTCCCTCAGAGTGGCTGGTGGGTCTGAACCACCGACCTGGTGGTTATCCTACAGCACTACACCAGAAAGCCATCCTGATTACTATTTTTAGTTTGTCACCTCATGATGTATTCTACTTTACAAATGAGAGGGCCACAATGTTAAAGCCCCAAACCTAGAAAATACTACAAAGTACTATATAAGACTTAATCCAGAAATCTTCCAAAAGGAAGACAATCCAACATCTATTGGTCTTTCTTAAGGCTCTCATGTGACTAAGATATTGTGGATTCTGATGACCACAGCCACACTTTATTACTAAACATTTTTTCCAATATAAATTTTAAAAGGAAACTCTTTTCCTACCATCAAATTTTTGGCCTAGGTTTATTTCTTTAGAAAACACACATTTTTTTCACAAATAACTCAATATTCTAAGTCTTACCATGATACAAAGGAAGTTATGAGTAGGGTTTGGGTGACTATAAAGCCTAGAGCCTAGAATCTTGCAGATCCATCATCTGTGAATTTAATGACGTACTCTTGAATGGATTTCTATTTTTGATGTATTGAATGTTTTGAGAATTAAAAATTTATATTAATACTCAGTATAATTTTTTCATGTAATCTGTAAAATGATATATGTAAATTAATAATTAAAACCCCTTCTAGCTTCAAGGGATACTTCTTACTTAGTTCAATTACAAAACTGTGAACATCTTTCTGCTGCCCAGATGCACTCTTGATTGCTGATGAATTAATAATGTGAGACTTTCCCAGATGTTAATTTTTTGACATCATTTTGAGATAGCGAGGGAAAAAAAAATCAATCTTATTATTAGAATAAGTAAACCCCCAACGTTTCTTGATTTTGTGCAATTTCTCAGAGTATCATCAAATCTAGCATCATTTCCATATGATTTTATGAGAAATATATCTGTCTTTTGTGCAATGGCAGATTTATTTTTTAATTGCTTATGTCTCTATAGGTCTGTCATTGAGAGAGATATGTGCACTTATTGCCGAAAACCCTTGGGTATAGAAACAAAAATGATTTTAGATGAATTACAAATTTGCTGCCACTCCACTTGTTTTAAGGTAAGTGTGTGCTTATTTTGTTTCAATATAAAATTGTATAATGACTGGAATAAAAATAATTATTTAATGAATGCATAAAATGAACTTACAGCTTTCAGAAACATTATCATCCTCATTAATAATGTGCTGCTTAAATATTTCTTGGAGTTATTCAGTCTAAACCTTAGAGGCTTGTTAATTACTACCTTGGCTTTAGTAATAGGATTGAATACTAACACATTCTTTCCTTCTGGTTCTAATGATTTAAATCTGAAAAAAAAATAAACATTTGTCCTCTTTTCTTTATAAAATATTTTTTGGTAAAATTTTGATAAAATATTTATTACATAAAATAAACAATTAAATCCAAAAAGGAAAAGAAATTGTTGAGCAGACAGCTAGCAGATTTTTATATCATGAAATTACATAGTATTTATAAGCTTAGCAATAGTTGAAATTCAGTTTCTGCTGTTGAGAGTATGAATAATTGCACCTACTCCTCACTTATCGACTATATTGTTATCCAACATTTTGCATTTTGACAAGAGAAAGCATCTATTATCCAACTATTCTGTGTAGTAACAATGAATGTCCGGCAGTGACAAATGCCGAGGTGTGAGGTGAGAGTAATGCTGGCTGTGGTGACTAGAGTTATGTGCTAACTTGACTGGGCCATGGCTTTCATTGGTTTGGAAGTTATGTAATGATGAATTCGCAGCTTTGTAATGATGTGGTCATACTCCATTTCGTGATCTGATAGGGTCATAGTTTATTTTTGTCTAATGCTGATTTTCTCATAATGATTGGGTCTTTGGAACCTAACCATGCTGACAAATGAGGAGTGGGTGTATAATACTGGATTATATATAATAATAGGTTATTGTTGTTGGGACCATCCAGGTGATTTCAGTCCATGGTTACCTCTTGTGACACAGTAGTACTTTAGGCTGTGATCTCTTCTAGGCTATAACTTTTATGGGATCAGATTACAGATCTTTCTTCTTTAAAGACACTATTGTTGTTGTTAAGTGCCATTGAATTGGTTTTGACTCATAGTGACTCAGTATAGGGTTTCCAAGGAGTGGCTGGTATGTTTGAACCATGGACCTTGCAGTTAGTTGTACAGTGTAGTAGTACCTTGTGCAACTAGGGCTCCTTCAGAAATCGTGCATTAGTAGAGAGTTTCACAGTCTGTACTTTCATATGCAATTTCTTTAAGCTCTCACAATAACATCATAGTTTTTGATGTGACTGAATGGGACAAGATTTCTAGTTTAGGCTTTGTCACTAACTATGGCTGTATAACCCTGAACAATCATCTAAGAAAACTATGCCTCAGTTTCCTTACATATATTGTGAGGAAATAGACTATATCAGAGGTTCTCAACAGTGTCATCATTTGAGAGAATTAGAACAAAAGATAATGCATGGGACCTTCCCCAGATTAATTAAATCAAGAATCTTAGAGATTAGTTCGACATGCTCCTATTTTTTAAAGCTCTATGTTATTGTTAGCAAGTTCAAGTTGAAGCTGAAGAAAATTAAAACAAGTACATGAGAGCCAAAGTACAACTTAGAAACCATCACACCTGAACTTAGAAACCATCACAAGAATAGTGTTGCTGCATTGAATACTAATGACTGAAGACTGGATGAGCTATGGGATGACATCAAAGACATCATACATGAAGAAACCAGATCATTAAAATACAAGAATGAAAGAAAAGACCAAAATGGATGCCAGAAGAGCAAATTATCTATGAAGCTGGACTATCTGAGAAGAGCACAACATTAGAATTGAAGGAAAATTCATTAGCAACCTGGAATATGCAGATGATATATATTATTTGCTGAAAGTGAAGAGGACTTAGAGCACTTACTGATGAAGATCAAAGATTACAGCCTTCACTATGGACTATGCTTCAACATCATGAGAACAAAAAGACTCACAATGGAACCAATAAACAACATCAGGATAAACGGAGACAAGATTGAAGGTGTCAACTATTTCTTTTCAGCAGTAGTCAAAAAAATCAAACAATGTAGCAGATTAGGTGAATCTGCTGCAAAAAGTCTCTTTAGAGTGTTAAGAAGCAAAAGATGTCATTTTGAAGACTAAGATGCACCTGACTCAAGCCATGATCTTTCCAGTTGTCTATTAAGATGGACAATAACTAAGAAAGACTAACAAAGAATTTATGCTTTTGAATTTTGGGGTTGATGAAGAACATTAACTATACCATGGGATGCCAGAAGAATGAACAAATCTGTCTTGGAAAAAGTAAAGCCAGAATTCTCGTTAGAAGCAAGGATGGTGGGACTTTGTCTCACATTCTTTGGATGTGTTATCAGTTGGGACTGGTCCATGAGGAAGAGCATCATGAGTGATAAAGTAGAGAGTCAGTGAAAAAGAGGATGACCCTTAACAAGATGGATTGATATGTTGTTGTTAAGTGCCATCAAGTTGATTCCAACCTGTAGCGACCCTGTATAGGGTTTACAAGGAGCAGCTGGTGAGCTTGAACTATCGCCCTTGCAGTTCAGATGACTTTGCAGTCTGATGCATTAGCCTACACCGGTTGCTGCAAAATGAACTTAAACACAGCAATGATTGTGAAGATGACTCAAGACTGTGTAAGGTTTCATTCTGTTGGGCATGGGTACATATTGTTGTTAGGTATCATGCAGTCAATGTTTTACTCATAGTGGCCCCATGTGACAGTGTACAATGGCCCCATAGGGTTATCTAGACTGTAATCTTTATGGAGGAATGCTGGTGTGGTGCTGTAAGATAAGCACTGGACCGAAAGATCAGTTTTAACTACAAGGTCAGTGGTTCAAACCCACCAGCTGCTCCCCAGAAACCCTACACAGAGTTACTATGAGTCAGAACTGACTTGATGGCACTTAATAACAATAGCAATCTTTGTAGAAGCAGATCAGTAGGTGCTGCTAAGTGGATTTGAACTGCCAACCTTACTGTTAGCAGTTGGGTACTTAACCATTGTGTCACCAGATCTCCTTAAAAGTTCTATAAGTAAGTCTAATGTGCAGCCAGTTTGAGAACCAGTTGATTAGATCGATGGGTCTTTTCTAGTTCTAACATTCTAAGATCTATTCCAATTACCCAACTCACTCAAATATATGTAACATTTTGTCACCTGATTGCTTCTTTTCCAATTAACTTCAAACAGTAACAAATAGCAATAAAAAATATGATTCCTCATTTTGGGCACCCAAATTAAATTTTAAATGGAATTTACAAATATAAGCATAAAGAATTGCATATGTTGATACATATTATATCATATAGAATTATATTACATATCTTTTACAAATAATATAAACATTTATGAATGTAGAATTCAATATTAAAATGTAGCCTGAAGATTGAATTGCTAATTTATGAAAAAATGAAATTACTCTCTTTTCATTACTAAAATTCTCAATTAAACAAAACTTAAATTTATAGCTCTATATTTAAAATTATTAAGCAGACCCAGAAATTCCACTCCTGAAAGACTTGAAAGCAGGAACTGGAGCAGACATTTGTATCCCAATGTTCATTGTGGCATTATTCCAATATCCAAAATGTGGAAGCAACCCAAGTGTCCATCAACAGATGTGTGGCACATAGGTATAATGAAATATTACTCAGCCATAAAGAGTAATGTCATTCTGATGTCATGATATGGATGAACCCCAGAAACATTGTGCTTAATGAAATAAATCAGGCAAATATTGTATGATGTCATTTATTTGAAATGGCAAGAATAATCACAGGCATATAGAGAGCAAAGATTATTAGTGGTAATCAAGGGGGAGTCCTGGGTTAATGCGCTGGACTGCAAGATCAGCTTGAACTACAAGGTAACAGAACAACAAAGGTAGGTGGGTGGAGGAAAGAGAGCGTTTACAGTTAAGGAGCCCAAGTTTCTGTAAAGGATGATGACAAAGCTTGGAAAGGCATAATACTGATGATTGTACAACATAGTGAATGAAATTTATGTACAAGCAAAGATGGTGAAAATAGGAAGATTTTGGCTGTATGTATCTTACTACAATAAAACGCAGACATATTATGTAGAAAATGTTTCAGACAAGGAAAATCTCCTGGTTAATGAAAATTGAGGGTGGATCATTTACATTTTCAATTTACTTATAAAATACTAAGAACTGATGGGAGCACAGTGACTCTGTAACAACAGCACTGGACTGCAATCCACAAGGTCGGCCCTTCAAACCCATCAGCTGCTCTGTTGTAGAAACATGAGGCTGTCTGTTCCTGCAAAGATTTACAACCTCAGAAACCCTGTACACACAGGGTGGCTATGAGTCAGAACCAACTTGATGGTTCTTAACAACAACATTAACTGAGAGTAAAAATGTTTTCTAAAAGCTTGATTGTTCTTTAGTCATGGAGATAGTTATCAGACTGGTTAAAGTAATGTCAGATTTATCACTGACAGTTTGTTTCAGTGAAAACACCTCAAAAATCACGGCCAGCCTCCTGCTGCAAAAGTCAGCCAATCAAAAGTGGGCTCACTCCATTGCACATATGTCTTAGACACAAGTCAACCCTTTTCCTGCTTCTGCAATCAGTGCAACCCAAAAGAAACTTTTCCTTCAGATCTTTGTAAGTTGTTGTCCCTGGACAACATCGATCTCCCTGTGTATGTAAACAATAAATACAACTACATAGTTATAGTTTATTTCATATATTGAGTAATGATCTTGTTCTTAGCATAACCAATTTTTGAACATTTATCTCTATTCCAATGTGTGTTTGATAGAAAACTTCAGGTGGTAGCTATACCCTGAAATGTACCTCCATGATAGGGAGATTTCATGAGAATTTATTTGAAAAGTTAAAACACGGATCATAGACAAGGACACTTTTGCTTTTCCTGTGGTTTCCCTTCAGGTTTCATCTCAGAATTAGTAAGGAGGATAGCATTGAATGAAATGAAAGAACTTTTCTAGCCCTATTACTCTAAAATTCTAGAATTCTTAAATCATGT